TATCCAATTCAACCACCACTTCAGGCAGTGAGTTCCGCAATCCACTGTCTATGCTGTACAGTGGAATGACTAACTTGTAGGTTAACCTGGCAGCCAATTTTACACACTCCAATGCCTCACAAACAGCCATGATGTGAATGAACAATTTGTTGGAATGTTGGCCTGAACACCAGGAAAAATTCTCCTCTGTTCAAATAGTGTCATGGAATCTCACATCCACACGAACAGGCAGACAGACAGCGCCTTGGTTTAACATAGGAAATGCTAGATGAAAAGAAGACCAAGGTCCATGTACTTTGCCTTCCACATTCCTGGCAGTCGCCTGCACATATATCCGAAACTCCCTAAGTACTGTATTCTATCATGTTATTTCCTAAAGGAAAACTATCTAATCTGTGTTTGAAAGAATCAACATTTGCTGCTTCAGCCTCTCCCCAGGGAGCCCGGTCCACAGGTTCACCATTCGCTCAATGAAATAGTGTTGGCGTAGATTTGTTCTGAATTTACCCCCTTTGAATTGCAGATTTAACATCTCATCCGAAGGACAGCACTTCAACCAATACAGCGTCTCCCCAGCACTGCCTTGGAGTGTCAGGTTAGGCGAGTTCCAAATCCTGATGTGGGGCTTGAACCCTCAAACTTTTGTCTTTCTGATCATCGGGTCAATGCTGATGACACTTTCTGACACTAATGGCACTTCCTACACCCAGTAGACAATCTAGCCGCTGAGACACTAATAATAAATAATAGTAATCCTTGCACTTAATATAGCACCTTATCAAGTCATGGAGACGTCACAGAGCGCTTCACAGACTATACTGGAAAATGAATTGATTGTGCATTGTGTGGATCCTCACTAGACCCAGACAACTGCATTATAATGAGGTTACCTGCATATCTGCCCATTGGGTGGTCCCAAAGCACCTGGAGACGAAGCAGATTCTCACTTTGATTCTTTGTCAACAAGTGACAACCTCCACAAGGACAATAAAACATCTTTTCTGCCCCAGTGAATATCCCCAATGACAGTGACACCAGTCAACAACAATTTTCATGTGGAAAAATACCTTGCAACTGTAAAACTATATCAGTTTCGACAACAGTAGGACAGGGAGTTGGTTTTCTGAGAGGTTTTCAATGCTAACTACTCGTGAGCGAACTTGGCAGCCAAATTTTTACACTGCAATGCCCCACAAATAGCCATGAAGTGAATGAGCAATTCTATTTGTAGGAATGTCGGCCAGGACACCAGGAGAAACGCTCCTCTCCCATGTAAAGGATTCGCTGGCACTTCACTTTCACAAGCAGCTGCAATTTGCAAAACCTCTCCCGGAAAAAGTGAAGCTAACCACGTGTGCGGATGCAACGGAAGATCAAAATATTGAAAATTCCAAAGGGATCAAGTGAACCCTATTTTCCCATCACTTCCCCCACTATCAAAACAGTACATTGGCCCTGACAAGTATCAGTGAAAACTAAAATGTTAAAAAGAGCATAAGATCATTAATATGAAATAATAGTTCTCTTTCATATTCAAAAATGTACGTTCACACAAATGTGAAGACGTGGGTACGTGGATTTGTTTACAGTGAGAAGCAGCTGCACAGAAAACACACACACAAGCGAGCAGTGTTACCTGGTGTCAAGGAATATCTGAGAAGATCAGACCACTTGCTTACCACATTGGCAGAAACCAATCCACTAACTTGGTTCCTACTCACTGCTTGATAAACAGATATGTGGAGTGAGGTTTTGCACCGCCCGGGAATCGAACCCGGTCCTCTCGCAGGCGAGGTGAGTGCGATAACCACTATGCTACGATACTCCTCTTTATATGAAATATACCACTGTATCACCAATTTGGAGTCAATTGCACTCATTAAAACTTAAAAGAGCTCACCTTTACCACTAATAATCATAGGACTATCTGCATTTGATGTAATGTCATATACCATGCTGAAATATCTCCGTGTTTCATCCAAAAGCAGAAGTAAGCAGATAGGGCAGCTAACTGTTGGCAATATTATCTCATAAACAACAGTGACGAAATTAGTCTGGAACTTTGAGATTTGTTTTCACAAGTGAAACCAGGACACGATTACTCTCAGAAACACAGTGGTGCCTCGGGATCTTTTAACATCCACTCAAACTGGAGGCCGGGACAGCGTCTGCAACAGTCCAGCGCTGCTTTGGTAATGTGCTGGATCGCAAATTTGAATTGTGGAGCAACTCAAGTCCGGAAACTACTCCACTAAAAAGCTATATTGACACATGACCCAAATGAAGAGCCAGAACATGACACCCAGAGAAGATAGAGGCTCCGGACATCAATGCAGGCAAAATAAAGGACGGTAGAGGAAGGGACGCTTTAAAACTATAACAAGCAGAGCTGTGGGAATAATACTGAAACGTTTTGAAACAAGAATTAGGTGCAATGTTTAGAGATTTATTTCACCCACAAAATAGTCAATTCACTTTACAGTATATTCTTTGAAACGCTGAGACATCGCGAAGACATGATAAGTCGCTATATCCAATGCAAGGATTATTCTTATTATAAATAACCCATCTCCTGTCCCTGAGCAACATTGCTAGATTGGCTGCACTTTATTTAAATTTGAACTATTTCCCCCCGTCCCCCGAATACCTTTTGTGACAGTTTCAAAAGCACTACATCTAAATTAGGGTATTCTGCTACGCATCACAGTAGGTGAAGACTACTTCTTGTTGGAGGGGGGCAAAGTATTTGGTGACTTTTGGGCTACAAACTGCCGTTCGATTTCTGGCAAACCACTAAATGGAAGAAACTCATCTCTGTCTCTCACTCGTTCCCCAGGGGCTGAAAACGACGCACAAGAACTCTATATTCCAATATGGAGCAATATTTAGTCAGTAAATCAGGCCACAAAGTGACTGAGCTGTCTCCAGGCAAACGCCGGGCAGATCACGCCTTGCTGCATGGATCACAAATCTTAGTAATAATAATCGTTGCATTTTATACAACACATTACCACGTTGTTGAGACGTCTCACAATACACTGTAAAGTGAATTGACTATATTTTTGCGGGTGAAACGCGGCAGCCAATTGCGCACAGAAGCCTCCCACAAACAGTCATGGATTGAATGACAAAATGAATTTAATTTTTTTAAAGGGATTATTACCCTCAGAAAGCGATCCTCCAATCGACGAACGAGCCGGTTCCTACTTACTGCTGGAACAGTTTCGTAACTCCCCACGTAGGCATGTGGAGTAAGGAAACTTGCCTCAGGTTTCACCCCGCCCAGGAACCAGTTACTGAGAAATCAGACCACAAAGTGACTTGAGCTGTCTGCAGACACACACTACACACCAGGACGCTACCCTACGTGAGGGGCGCTGTGTAAATGCAAGTTATTGTTGTAACTCAGGTAAACAGAGTTCGTGCAGAGGTAAAATGCCCAACATGTTATACTCGCCAACAGCATTTTAGGTATAATTAAACGTGTTATATACAATTATATACAATTTGACCAAAAAGCCGTGATACCAATAAGTCTTAAAGAAAGTTTTTTTTAAGATAACAGGGTGGTTAGTGCTTGAAGCACCCTCGGACATTACCCCGCACCAAGGGGGCCAGTTGTTACTGTTGTTAGTGTTCCCGAATTGTTGGTCACCCTGTATGCCCCCCACCCCGCCTGAGTGCAAGCAGCTGCTCGCCAGGCTCGGTGGCACTTCAATACTAATCCCGGCATTTGATACAGCGCCTCGTCACGTCTTCAAAGACGTCTCAAAGCGCTTCACAGGATACACTGTCATGTGAACTGACTGTGTACTTTGTGGATAAAACCCCGGCCATGGCTCCTCGTCTCCCCTTCACTGTCACCTAATGACAACTGCTCTGTCTGTCTCTCTGTGTCTCTCACTAACAGCCCTGTCTGTCTGCCTCTGTGTCTCTGTCTTCACTCTATATCTGTGTCTCTGTGTCTCTCTCTCTGTGTCTCTCTGTCTCTCTCTCTCTGTCTCTCTCTCTTGTCTTCACTCTATATCTCTGTGTCTCTCTCTCTCTGTGTGTGTCTCTCTCTCTGTGTGTGTGTCTCTCTGTGGGTCTGTGTGTGTCTCTCTGTGTGTGTCTCTCTCTCTGTGGGTCTGTGTGTGTGTCTCTCTGTGTCTCTCTCTCTGTGTCTCTCTCTGTGTTTCTCTCTCTGTGTTTCTCTCTCTGGGTCTCTCTCTCTGTGGGTCTCTCTCTCTGTGGGTCTCTCTCTCTGTGGGTCTCTCTCTCTGTGGGTCTGTGTGTGTGTCTCTCTCTCTCTGTGTCTCTCTCTCTCTGTGTCTCTCTCTCTCTGTGTCTCTCTCTCTCTGTGGGTCTGTGTGTCTGTGTGTGTGTCTGTGTGTGTGTCTGTGTGTGTGTCTGTCTCTCTGTATCTCTCTCTGTGTGTCTCTGTGTCTCTCTCTCTGTGTCTCTGTCTCTATGTCTCTGTGTGTGTCTCTCTCTCTCTCTGTGTGTCACGGTCACATACCCACGGTGGTCAGGGTGTCTGTGTCTCTGTGTGTGTGTGTGTGTGTGTGTCTCTGTGTGTGTGTGTCTGTGTGTGTGTGTCTCTGTGTGTGTGTGTGTGTGTGTGTGTCTCTGTGTGTGTGTGTCTCTGTGTGTGTGTGTGTCTCTGTGTGTGTGTGTGTCTCTGTGTGTGTGTGTGTGTGTGTGTGTGTCTCTCTGTGTGTGTCTCTGTGTGTGTGTCTCTGTGTGTGTGTGTCACGGTACATACCCTCGGTGGTCAGGGTGTCTCTGTGTGTGTGTGTGTGTGTGTCTCTGTGTGTGTCTGTGTGTCTGTGTGTGTGTGTCTCTGTGTGTCTGTGTCACATACCCACGGTGGTCAGGGTGTCTGTGTCTCTCTCTGTGTGTCTCTCTGTGTGTGTGTCACATACCCACGGTGGTCAGGGTGTGTGTGTGTGTGTGTGTGTGTCACATACCCACGGTGGTCAGGGTGTCTGTGTGTGTGTGTGTGTGTCTGTGTCACATACCCACGGTGGTCAGGGTGTCGAGGTGCTCAAGGCTGTGGCGCCTGTGCGGCTGCAGCTCCTCTGAGGGCAGTTCCCGCGGCTGTTCCTCGCCCTCCGGCCCCGCGGACACCTTCTCCCCCGGACCAGCGGCAGCCTTCACCCCGGTGGCCGCCATTCTCCCCCCGTCTGTCTGTCTGTCTGTCTGTCTCCCTCAGTCAGTCTCCCTCAGTCTCTCTCTCTCTCTCCTCCTCTCTGTCCTCCCTCCTCCCCCCTCCCTCCCTCTCTCACATGGCTGTCACTGTCGCACACGCACAGTAAAGTAGCCCAAACTCCACCAACAGGTAGCCCAATATCACGTGGTCTGCCAGCGCTGATCCACGACGAAACCAGCCCCACTTGGGCGTGAAAGCCGCCCAATCGGGCGGGCGGGGGCGGGCGGGCGGGGACGCGGGGGCGGCACGAATTGAGGGCGGCGGTTATGACCGTTATTCAAATGAGGACTCCCCCACGTGACCCTTCGACGCCCCGCCCCCCCACCGCCCCGCCCCCCCCCACCGCCCCGCCCTCCCTCCGCTTTGAGGTCACGTGGAGGCATTCCTGCTTGGCTCAGGGGTAGCGCGCTCGCCTCTGGGTCAGAAGGTTGTGGGTTCAACCCCCAACCCCCCACGCAGGGACTTGGCATCACATAGTCTAGAGTAACATTCCAGTGTTGCATTAATAATAATAATTAACAATAATAATCCTGGCATTTGATATAGCACCTTATCACATTGAGACGGCTCAAAGCGCTTCACAGAATATACTGGAAAGTGCAGTGACTGTACGTTTTGTGGGCGAAACGCGGCAGCCGATTGCACACAACGGTGTCCCCACAAACAGTCGGGGATTGAGCGCCGCATTTTTTTTTTTGAAGGAATTGTGCCAAACAGAACCAGAGCGCACGGCCTGCGACCGAAGGGAAAAAATACAGAATAAAACTGCGGGAACACTACTTCAGTGAGCGAGTCGTAAACGTGTGGAATACGATTCCCGGGGAGACGGGCAGACAGTGGAAGCAGAAAGTGTGGATTCTTTCAAGAGCAAATGAGATAGATTTCTGATGGAAAATAATATCTGAGGGAGACAGTGTATAGTTTGGAACACGACAGGTCAAACGACTGCCTGGATGGTGAAAAGTGAACTGGATGGATCTAAGTCTTCTTTCGCCAGCAAATTCTTATATTCTTATGATTATTATCCCCGAAAACGTGGTCCGCCAATCGACTAACAACCGGGTTCCTACTTCCTGCTGATAAACAGAGGCGTGTGGAGTAAGGAAACTTGCCTAAGTGGAGCGGGAGATTCACACTGGCACAGTCATAATAATAATCTCACATTTAATGCACCGCCTATTAATGCAACAGTTCTAGTACTCACCACAGGTATTTGCTGTAAGTGTCAAATGTAGTGACTGTTTCCTCTTTCTCACAGGACAGGGCAGCCAATTTACGAACAGCAAGTCCCAAATTGGCCCTGAAAGTGAATGACCGATTTTATCAGGCGGGGTGGGGGGGGGTGACGATCGTTTGTGTCAGCCTGGCTCAGTTGGTTGCACTCTCACCTTCCAGTCAGAACATGATGACATGGAAGGTGCTGTATGTCAAGTGGAAAGGATTATTATAGTTATTGTGGTTGTGGGCTCAAGTCCCACTGTCAAGGACTTTGAGGTCCAGTGCAGTGCTGGGGAGCACAACATAAAGCGCTCTGGGACACTACCCTGCATGAGGGGTGCTATATATCACGTTGTTTTTGTTGCTCTCCGTCTCCACTCTTTAGAACTCCATCCCACGTTCCCTTCGCCTCACTCCCTTGCCTCCTCTTCAAGTGTGCCTTTGGCCATCCTCCTACCCGTATCCTCCCTGCCCTCGATCCTCCCTATCCCAATCCCCCCTCCCCCCGCTCTCGGGTCCAAATCCCTAACTGTCCAGCACCTTGAGATGTCCACCCGATGTGAAAGGCGCTATGCAAGTGGAATTTTTATAGAATCGTAGAATTATACAGCACAGAAGGAGGCCATTCGGCCCATCGTGTCTGTGCCACCTCTTTGAAAAGAGCTTCCAAATCAACCCCACTCCCCCCCTCTCTCCCCATAGCCCTTCAAACTTGTCCTCCCCAAATAATTACCGACTTCTCTCTTGAAAGTTGTTATTGAATCGGCTTCCACCCCCTTTCAGGCATTTTGCATTGTTGCTGTTACATTGCTGTCCTTTGGGTGAAACATTAAACTGAAGTTTAAAGTTGAACGTTACAGTTTACCAAGAATCACATATCCGATATGTGTAGTGATATTGACTTACAAGCCTCCGCAAGTGAAGTGTCCCCTTTAATTCCCATGCTGTAAATCAGATGAGATTGGGTTACTTTGGGGAATAAATCTCTCCTGTCCATTTATCTCCACCCTTACAAATGAGGGCAGCAGGAGCCATTTCAAGTTCAATTAAAGCTTTATTGGGCCAAAGAGGCAGCTCACAGGGGATTTACCCAACTGGTGTCAATTCAGTAAAACATGATCCTTGAGTTAAATCTCCTCTGACGTCTGGCGTCTGTCTTCCCGACAATTCCTCACGACCCAAAGATTTGACTTGCACCGTGTGCATTGGATCGCGGAGGAAATAGCCAGTCGTGTGAACTGCTTCCCTACATGGATATATTTCAAATGGAAAAAATAACGAATAATAATAATCCTTGGGTGCGATGCAGAACCTTTGATGTCAAGGATGTCTCAAATTGCATCACAAAGTGAATGACTGGTCGACAATGGGACGTGCAGAAGGCTGGAGCCAGCTGAGCAAAGGGGGGGCGGGGAGAGGAATGGGGTGTGAGCAGGTTGGTGAGTCGGGAGCTGTCATGGAATGAAGTGATTCGTGTGTGAGTGTGAGGTTCTTGGAATCTCAGTCACAACAAATATTAGAGCAGGGAGTTTCTCTCCCAGTGCCCTGCTCAACAATCCTTATCCAGATAAAAAAAAAATCAGTCATGGATGTTATTGTGAACAAATTGTCCCACAAACAGGAATGAAGCGAATTGGCTTCTTTGTTGTTGTTGTTGTTCCTCATTTGCCCACAAAATACATACACTCAGCACCGTTTATAGCACATCCTGTGAAGCGCTTTGAGACGTCCTCCTGATGTGAAAGGCGCTGTGTTCAAAGGGCAGGGATTAATACTGAGGGTTATTCCAATCCAATTTCAGGGAAAAACAAACTCGGAAAGCGTAGCGTGATGCCAGGGAATTTCACAAGAAGTTGGAAGTGTAATTTTAGAACCATCTTCTCCGGTCAGCTGCTCTTTACACAATGATCGTTTTCAACAACTTCTTATGACTGTCTATTGCTTTTCAGCCCTCATTAGAGGGTTTCTGTTATTGGAGCAATTTATTTGCATCGGAAAAACAACCTCAACATGAGTCATATGAGGAACCAACAAGTGGAGTCTGGGCATGAATGGTAAACAGTTGGACTCATATTTTACGTAACACTTTGCTTAAACATTTGGATTTTATCACAAAAATTAAAATAAAAACAGGGATCTGTCATTTGCTTATGACGGAACACAGGGTCCATGTGTCACTCGTTCCCAACAAATAATAATTGTGCAGTCCTGTAGCTCAGCGTTAGAGCACTCGCCTCGCGAGCAAGAGGACCTGGGTTCAATTCCCAGACAGAGCGAAATGTTGGACAAGTTTCCTTACTCCACACACCTCTGTTTACCTAGCAATAAGTAGACCACATCGCGACCACATCACTCCCACCCTCGCTCGCCTCCACTGGCTCCCCATCCCCCAGAGGATCGAATTCAAGATCCTCATCCTCACCTACAAGGCCATTCCCGGCCTCGCTCCTTCCTACCTCTCCAACCTACTATCCCCCTACCTACCCGCCCGTACCCTCCATTCCTCTGGCTCCGGTCTGCTCCACATCCCCCACCCCAACCGCCCTACCATCGGTGGCCTTCAGCCTCTCAGCCCCGAGGCTCTGGAACTCCATCCCCAGTGCCTTCACCGCTTCCTCCCTTTCCTCCTTCAGGGCCGGTCTCAAGACCTTTCTCTTTGACCGTGCCTTCAGCTCCCCTCTCGACTCTTTACCCCCTCCTCGCTCCTTCCCTCGCCTCACCCTGACCATTTCCCCCCTCCTCGCTCCCTCCCTTCCCTCCACTCACCCTGACCATTTCCCCCTTCCTCGCTCCCTCCCTTCCCTCACCCTGACCATTTCCCCCCTCCTCGCTCCCTCCCTTCCCTCCCCTCACCCTGACCATTTCCCATCTGCTCGGGTCCTGACGCAACTGTCCAGCGCCTTGGGACGTCCTCCCGACGTGAAAGGCGCTCTATAAATGAAATCTTGTTGTTGTTATAGGAACCTAGTTGTTAGTTAATTGGCGGATCGCTTTTCCGGGGATATAAATCCCTCAAAAAAATAATAATTTGGTCACTCAATCCACTTTTTTTGGGAGGGGGCACTGCTGTGCGCAATTGGCTGTAGTGTTTTGCGCACAAAATATACAGTCAATTCACTGAGACACTGACAGTACCACCCTCCATGGATGCACTCTATATCTCATGGAGCCAGTATGGAACTTCGACGTCCTGTTCGATTCTCAATTACCCTTCATACCCCACATCTGCACCATATCCTGCTCTGCCTTTCCCCACCTCCGCAACATTGCTCAGCTCCGCCAATACCCTTATACATTCATAACATAACATCCAGGCTCGACTATGCAAACTCCCTGCCTGTCAGCCTCCCAACTCCACCCTCCATAGGCTGCAGATCATCCAGAACTCTGCAACCCATGTCTTCTCCCGTACCAGGCACCGTAACCCTATCACCCCTATCCTCGCCCAGCTCCACTGGCTTCCCATCCCACAGGATACAGTTCAATATTTTTATTATCAAGATTCAATATCCTAGTCCTCGCTTTCAAAGCTCTCCATGGCCTTGCTTCCCACTACCTCTGTGACCTTCTAACCCCTACGAACTTCCCCACTCCCGTCGCTTAGTGGGCTGGCCTCCTTCACGTCCCCCGCCTCGCTCGCCCCACCATTGGCGGGTGGGCCTTCAGCCACTCTTCCCCCACCCTCTGGAACTCCATCCCACAGTCCCTCTGCCTCACCCCCTCCTTCAAGACCCATCTCAAGACCTCC